TGCATGGCAATGGTGGTGTGGCTGTGGGCGAGCATGGATAGCTCAGAACAAATGCCAATGTGAATGGATACGACTGCAGGGCCTGATCTTATGATGTTTGAGGAGATAATTGGACAGGGGACAGTGTGCTTTGTCGAGTATCTCCGCAAACATCACACGCGGCAGCCGCCGAGGCTGGAGTTGAAGTTGACGTTTGAGATCTTTGAGATCTGAAGTGCACCACCGTCACCATGGGTGTTGTTGTCGCCAGCGACGTCACTGGCAGTGGCTGCGTCCGTGGGTGCGACGCTCGTACGAAAGTTTGAAAGTCTCTTGATCGGGGGGGGCGAGTGTTCGAGGAAGCGGTGGAGGCGATCGTTCATGGGAGAGAATGCATGTGAGGTCGCCGTTGCACGAGAAAACAGAGTCACCACAACCATCAGCTGCGGGCGTACCCGGTTCTACTGCTTCTATGCCGACTCCGACGGCTGGGACCGCCGCACATGGCGGCGCTGATGCGGAAAGTCAGAGCCAGACGCACAGTCGGGCAGTGACTTTTGGAGGATCATTGATCGTGCAGGCGAACACCGCCAAGTGCGCAATTACCCAGGATTTGGCTGCAAGAGGTCGCAAACAGTTTCATACTAGCATGACGTCTGACGTCTTCGTACCTTAGTCCCATGGCGCCCCTGCAACGCCCGCACCCACGAATGCAAGTGAGAAAAAAAAAAACAGAGAGTGCTGAATAAGTAATCAGTCGAGCATGGAGTTGGCGCAAATATCCGGACCGGGGCTAACCCCAAATTGGATGCATGTGGACAATGGTTGCTGGCTAGCAGTGCTGTACAGTATGTACCGTAAATCGAATCATAATATATTTGATATGTGTACTTTATATATGTGTGAAATTCATCACGACGAAATCTCTTTTCATGAAGTGAGATTACCCGGGGTTCATCAACATTCATCGTTGACAAATGAGTCCTCCTGCCTCTTCGAACTGTGACAGCCGGACCACCCGAGCATACATACATATAATCAGATGCCACCTCACCAATTTCTGCCGGTGCCAGGTGCGGTCCCCATCACACGTCTTGTTGCGTCGCGCCGCCGGCCGACCACGACCACTCATCCACATGACTGATACGCGTGCAGTCGAGGTATCCTTGGCGCCAGAGCAGGATGAGGTATGCGTCGGATGTCTGTTGTGCATAGAGCGTAAGCAGGGAGTGCTAGTTGTGTTGAGGGGCGGAGGCACAAGCGACGGAGTAGAGGTGTGGGGAAAGGAACGATGGCAAGCCGGTCTATTCCATAAGATACTACGTACGCGCGCCAGATATTCATCGGCTAGAATGTCTGCAGCCACTGTCGCCCCGACAGTGTACCCGTCTGTCGATGTGAGGGGTTGGTGAGTACAGACCAGCATTGAACGGCAGGCATAGATCCTCCCACAGAAAGGCGGATCACTCGAGCTAAAAATGCTAATCAGCATCCAGGATTACCCCTAGGTTTAAGCCTCCCCCCAGAAAAAAAAACGAACCATGGCAGAAATCGTACGTGACAAGGCCACTTTGGAGCAGCAGCGCGAGGAAGTATAAGAAAACCCAATGAGGGTATAATGCGTGTTGCCAGTATGATCCCGATGGGACTTCGACGCGGTGTGAATGGCTCCCCTCAGCAGCGAGGAATGACGCCAGGCCAACCCTCATCGAAGGGGACAAAAACGGGACGAAGTAGGACAAAGGGGACCACAGAAAAGTCAGTGTACCTAGCAACACCTGAAAGGGAAGAACCCTTCAGACGTCCCAACGCCGTGTGAACGGCTCCCATGAGTCCCGTGAGTCCCCGCCACCAAGCAAGCTATTTGTGGTGGCGGCAGTGGCGAGGGCGACGGTGACGGCCCGGGTGAGGAGAGAGGCACAACTTGGTGCCATCGAGTCCAACGCGCGCTGCTGGTGGCGGTGGCAGAGTCGAGGGTGGGGACACATCTGACAGCCACTCCGAACTTTGGCAAAGTTCAACGAATGTCACGTGATCAAGGCTGCAGCATGATTCCAAGGTTTATTACTGCACCGCTATGTCAAGATCAGCATGGGCTACTTGTTTGTGCCCTCATCAAATTCAGGTCTAATTAAACAGTGCCTGATATCTTATATGGTTGCTACATACCCTGTGAAAAGCGAAAAATAGTTTCTGGTTTAGATCATGCTCATCCCCGACATCTTTCCTCAGGGGCGGGACGTCGCGCGGCCGTGGGAGGACTTGGTGGGAAACTGGCCACTTTGTGTGACAGCGGAATATTATATAATGTTTCCGTATAAGTAGCGAAATCACGTGGAAATGATGTCATTATTTGTTCCACCGACAATATAACTACCTAATAAGGATAACGCCGTGTGGCTGAATGTCTTGATCTACACATCTACGTACGATACATGGATACCAATGTCAGTTAAGCTGGGCAATCTCCAACACTTGATCCGACCCAATGTTTGGCAACCTCTGGCTGGTTGATAACGCTGGAATGGGCGGATAAATAGGTGCGCTACTTGTGCTTGTTCAGAGTGTCTCTCATCATTTCACCTTACTATCCCCAGAACCGAGTACCAGTATGCGCGACTGGCCTATCTTCACAAGTCTTGTCTGCATATTCTTAGTGTCCAGGGTCGTCAACTGTATCGCCAACAAAAAGGTAGACTATATCCAGAAAGTCACACCACATACCGGTCTCTAATCACTCAAAAGTTGGTCATGAGGATTCCGGGCCCATGGGTGGCATTATCTCCTCTCATGCCTCTAAGTGCCGCCCTCCCTACATGTCGGTGGAACCCAGGTCTTGCCTGGATTTGGAAATTACGCTTATCATGTATACAGCCCATCCGTTTAACGAGATTCTTTTCGCTTACGGAGATAACATCGCAGTTTATAAGAAGTGGGGCTCGGAAGTTGTTTCCTTTGTACCATTTCTACGGGGTCCTCCGTTGATCTTCACGTCCTCTCTCGAAGTCTCGCGACAGATATTGGCGGGAGGAAACCAGTCGGTGTGGGTGAAACCCGAGTGGGCCATGAAAGTCTTTGGGTAAGGTGTCTCTTTCAATGTGTTCAGTTCCACTAATTTGTATCTCCAGAGAATGGAGCTCGAGCGTGCTACATACCAACAAGGATGACTGGAGGCGCCATCGGCGCATCATGGGTCCCGCATTCAACACCTCTACATATTCAATTGTATGGGCGGAGACTTCGCGGGTGTATGGAGACATGATCAGCGTAGAGGGTTGGTCGCAGAAGGACTTGGTGACACTCAGACAGGTTCAAGCTTACACGACCCGCCTTGCCTTTTTGGTGATTTCTACCTGTGGCTTCGGTTTACCATTTCGCTGGGAGGAGCCTACTGAAACCGACGACGGAGGCATGGGCATACAGAAAGCTATGCGTATCTGGGTGGATACGGTGATCGTGAGACTCCTTACACCGTCATGGGTTTATAAGCTTCCCATCAAAAGGTGCATTCTCAAACTGTATTATGTTGTCATGTCCATCTAACGGTTCTCTTGGCCCGCAGTTTGCGTGATGCCGCTACATCTTCTCAGGTACTACACAATCAGATGGCGGAGATTATATCCGAGCGCAGGGCCGAACTGAACGGCGAGATTACCGACCGATTCGGAGATATTGCAAGGAAGGATATATTTAGCTTGCTTATCCGCGCCAGTGAGGAGGATAGTAAGTTCCAGTTGAGTAATGATGAGGTGGTGAGTGATAATATCGACGGGTCGAGTCTGTTCTTGATTCGATACAAGGTGGGAAATGTCTTTGCAATAATGTTTGCGGGTCACGGTTTGTGCATGTTCTGCCTCATCGCACCAAATGGGTACTAAAGCTTATCGTCGGTGCAGAATCAATGGCATCTACGCTTGCATCAACAATTGGACTCCTTTGCCTCCACTCGGATGTCCAAGAGGACCTATACGAACAGATCGTAGATGTGGTGGGACACGACCGTGAACCGGTAAGCTACAATATCTCCATGAGCATTTCGTGTCGTGACGGATAGGTACCCCAGACATTTGAAGACTTTTCTCGACTTGAGAAGGTGGCTCATGCCTTTTATGAAGCTAACAGGCTTTACCGTCGGTTTTTTTTCCTTCGTTGAATCAGTGTTCAGAATGACGATCTGGCATCTGCAGCGGCTGCGTTCATATTGATTCGGGAGGCCACCGAGGATACAATTCTCAACATCCCAAACGCCGACAATCAACCAGGAACACGACAAGTCGCTATCCCAAAGGGGTTATCCGTTATTGTGGATATGATTGGTATCCGTGCGTCGTATCCGCTGAACGAAGAAAGACGACATCCTTACTGATAGGTTTAAAGAGTACAATCCACGTTACTTCCCTGACCCATACAAATATGACCCCAGTCGGTGGCGGGGAGTTGTTGCTGAATCTGAGGAAATAACTGCATTCAGCGTTGGTATGTCTAAAACTTGAGCTCTTGGTCTCTGTGATAGATGTGCCCAGGTCCCCGCACATGCCTCGGGCGCAAGTTTGCGGTAGTGGAAGCTGTCTGCTTCCTGACGCTTCTCATAAGGGATTGGATGGTTGAACCGATCATGAACCCTGGCGAGACTGGCGAACAATGGCGAGATCGTGTGATGCAAGTAGTAGATATGAAGATGACACTTTCCGTCAAAGCGCTCCCGGTGCGGCTGAGGCGGCGGATTCGACCTGCTTCGATATAAATACGATTGTCGCTGGCGATGTTCTTGTCCTAATTTTTGTACAGTTTGCGATTCTTTCTTTTATTTTCCGACAATGTGGGTTGACAAACGCAGACGTTTCACATGCAAGGGACTCCTACCATTTCCCCCATTCAAGCTGAACGAAATCTGACTCAGTGGAGATGTTGTAGTATGCTATATTCATATTCAACTTCACCCGAGTAGTGTAGATGTAGTGCGATAAGCAATTTTTTAATTCCACACCATTTATCATGCATGCCACTGTATTGACAGTTAACTTTCGGTAGCTTAGCTGGAAGAGCATGGGACTATAACAGATGGTTTATGATATCCCGAGGTTGCTTGTTCAACTCCAGTCTGAAGGAAGTCTTTTTCTCACTGACCAAATGCTCAAGTCATCAGAAAGAGTGTCACGATGCCAGGTCAAAACGTAATGCGTTTGAATTTCTGGGGGCTTATGTCAGCCACCACGTTTCTCGCACGTGTCCCGACCGGCCAATTAGTTTGGTGTTGAACGCGACACGTCAAGCCGAGCCTTGAGATCTATTCAACTTGGACCATCAAACACCCAGACTCTCCTGTGAGTGAGAGCTCTGAGATCTGGAACTTGGGACCACATTTCATGCATAATGATTCTCTGCATGCCCAGAATTTAACACCATCTGTTTATGCAGCCACTAGCAACGTGGAGAGAATATGTCTGTTTGTTTCTCGAGGCTCCTGACATTCAGTGTTTTAAAACCCAGGTGGACCATGACTAGATTATCGTGACGCGACGCATCAACTGCCTGATACAATATTTCGAGAATTAAAAAATGATGAATCAGTTCTGCTTCCTGGCTTCATAATTTCAATGAAGGTTCATCTCTTCTGTACCCTGTTGACGTCTGCTTGAAGAGTCAAACTCTCACTTCCTCCTCAGGACTCCTCCCTGCGTGGCGCGGCGCTGGGATCTGGATTCGTCGTGGAAGTGCCAATACCTCGGCCACTTGATGCTGACTCGGTAGCCTGCCCGGCAACACCATCGTCACGTCGGACACCTTTCTCATCCCCCGCATCAGGCCAGCCAGAGGCATCCCGTGGTGCCGGAGGCGCAGTTTTCTCATCATTAGGATATCCTGCCGCCTGGGTCGAAGTGGCCACGCTCGGCGCCGCAGCAGTACCGCAGGTGGTGGTGGTGGTGGTGGTCTTGCGCTCGAGATCCAGTTTGCTGAATCCCTGCCCAATCTCATCTTTCCCCGTCGCTGCGATGTCCTTCCCAGAGCCACGACCAAAGTCAGTGGCTGCTATTGCGTATCCACGGATGACCTCCCCCGCTCCTACAACGAAACGTTAGTATCTTAATGTGCGGGTCCGTGTCGGTGCTAGGTAAAGTCACCATGAACAATGCTTGCTACGCCGCTATGAGATGGTCAACCAAGTCACGGTTATATCGTGTAGGAACGTGGGAAATCCTTACGCGACTTTCGATTGCAAACTGCTTGGGCTGTCAGGTGCGTCAGGGCGAGACTCGGGACTTGTACGCTGAGCTTCATCGGTGGTGGGTTTGTCGGTAGATGTCATTTGTGGGGAATGTATGAACGAGGGAATTGGACAGGAGCATATTGTTGATATATCCCCTATGGAGCTGACGATGTCAGTGGGACAAATCCGTGACGTCATCTCAAGCATCTCGATTAGGTTGATATAATACAACGCTCATCAGGGCAAACTTCAGACTCGGGTATCATCAGCATTTTCTCCTATAAAAGTGGGCAAGAAATCAACAAAAAGGAGCGAAAACGGTCGACCTGTGACATGTCCATCAAGTTGTTATCTCCCTCACCCCTTCCCTGACTTCCTGCTTCCCGTCTTCAACAATCTGTCCCCCACGCCGATTGCCAGAGCCTATATCCGCAATCTTGGTTATGATTCCTCGAATTACATCTCCAGTCCCTAACAAGTGCATCGAAACTGTGAGAGAAAAGAGCAGTTGACAGAGGGTGGTTATATACCATGAATGACGTTCATCAAGCCTCTGAGGATAATACCAAGTGTGAGCGCATGTTTATGTGAACCGCGCTCGGGAGGATGACGTACGCAAGACCCCGTTTAATCTTGCTATTCCCGACTCGGGGGCCGTTATCTTCCGTGGCTGGCTCTGTCTGCACCGGGACACTTGGAGTGGGAGTGCTAGGTACGTTTGACATGTCGCGCAAGTGAAGGGTACGTTGTAGTTCAACTTGTTGTGAAAGGGTTAGAGCTACACATATATATATATACCGTACGTAGGCGGCGCGAGGCATGACGAAATTAACCTATGATAGTGCCGTCATAGTATGGGTCGGAGTGCTAGTGGGGGTTCTACTGCCATGTGTCTCGGCGCTTCGCCCGATGCTTCGACACTTTCTACTCAGGCTAGTGTCAAGATCCGTGTTTCAATCTTGGCCTCAAGGCCAGCCTGAGGTTAAGACCCGGATGCTGGATTCGTTGGAACTTTTCATAACCTCGTGTTCTGGTTCATCCAGTCACACGGGCCATAGCTAAATTATTATTACGGCTTGTACAACTGGCAGGATTCACGGTCTCAATCCCAGTATTAGTACCCTGAACCCTGGGCGACGGGTTCTTGCCTTTTAGTAATAGCATGGGCACCTTGAGTTTTGGGCGCAAAAATGGTTCCAATAATGTAGGATACGTCCTTTGTCGGACCACCAAACGCTATCATACAAGCGATAAGTGACAGTGTAATTAAACGTCTCCCAGGGCCATGCAACACACCGCCAGCGGCATCTTGCCTACAATGACTGTCAATAGGTCTCTTCCGTACTTCGACTTGAACTCGTCAAGGTCAGGCTTCGGGCCTCGCGTTGAAAGAAATCAAAGTGATATGTATAAACAGTCGTATGGTATGAGTAGATCCGTCGCCAATAAATCTGTAAAGCCCCATGCTTTACCACCCTCTGAGATGTCCGATAAAAAAGACACATAAAACACGTCACCATCCCTTCACACGTCCAGACGTTCTTCTAGACGTTCTTCATCCACCTCCAACGACTCTGGAGCCGTCATAGTCACATCTACGTGACCATCGTTATCCAAGACGGCGCCCTCCGTCGAGTGCCGAATGCCGAGCGAGTCAAGGCCTCGCTCGATCTCATGCACCAAACCAAGTTGGTCCTTGGGCAGCCATATGATGCGCTGCTCCTTCGCTGCAGCAGGGTGGGTAAAGTCGGCAGGCGCGTCGTCGTCTTCCAGCGCCTCCGTGAATGGCGAGTTGGAGGAAGCGTGTGGACCGGGCTTGGAAGGATGAGAAGCGGCGTGTTTGTGTGCACTGCTGTCGGCAGCATCAGGACGTGGAGAACTTTCTTCGTCATCTTGCTTTACGTCCTTGATGTCGCCAATGCTCTTGGGATCAAGCTGCGGCGCCTGGTCGGCTGTCGTAGGGACATCATGCTTTTCTCCTACATCGTCATGAAGGGGTCCATCGGCAAGAGTAAGTGGTAGATTTTTGACGAGGGGACCATAGGAATTGCGGATAAGATTATGGAAGAATGCCTAACTGGTGCGTGAGAACAAGTTGATGATAGACAGTTAATAAACGATGCTTACCGTACATACGATTAAGACAATCAAGAGCGCACCCTCAGGAACCGCGCTGGGTTTCTTATGGCTATTCTCGGCAAGGAAGAACAGGGCACATAAGCAGAGCTGCTGAACGTAAAGCCCCACGAATATATGCTGGATTGCTTTGGGGAAAAAGAGTCCCCCGGTGTCGCTGGATTTTGGCTGATCGTTGACCCAAGTGAATAAGTATTTGTACAAGAAATAGAAGAAAAGGAAGGCCGCAAACGCGAGGCCGTTGATAATGGGCGATATAATAGAATAGCCGAACGTGATGACGACCAGTTGAGTCATTACAGGGAAGAGAGTACCCCAATCGGCTGTGCGGGGCTCGTACTTGATCCCAAACACGGAGCGTGGGGTGGAACCGAGGAGGATGATCTTGACATAATACAAAACTAGAGGTACAATTTGAAGGAAGCCGCCGCCCATTCCGGAAAGACCCTGAAGTAAGATGAAGCTACGTCCAGAAGTGAGACAACGATCAAGACAACTCTAGGACGATGGCACCCACGTCAGGAAGAAAGTCGAAGATTTTGGTAGATTCTGAGCCAGCAGACTCGGGACTGATGACGGGTTGTTCACCAGGAAGGGCAACGAGGCGATGAGGCCGGACGAGAACGTGATAACCAAAAAGCCGTTCTGTTGAATCCTTTGTAAGGGGTTTTGTTAGGGAAGACACAAACGAGCCACATACGATGACTTGGAACATGAAGTACCGATCCATCAAACTGAGCTCCACCCCCTTTTTTTGAGGAATGCCCTCAAACCGTCCCAACATCCGCATAATTATTGGTACTAGCATGAAGAGTAACAGAAGCAACACCGTGGAAGCGAAACCTTGGACAAAGCTGATAATGACACCGGGGGCTTTGCAAACCCACGCAAGCCAATGATATGTTGAACACAAGGCATGGATGTTCGAAATGAAACCGACGAACGCGACTACGGTGACCGGTTAGAACCCACACGCCATTTCAAACACAGGTGTGACCGACCTGGAATTGCCCAAACGATGATGATTCCGATAGTTGCAGCCCAAGAGATGGCCAAGCGTACACGGCGCTCGTAGCCAGACAAGGTCAGATTCTCCCAGATCACGTCGTCAGGTGCAACTTCAACGTATTTCAGCGCGTTAGACATTTGATATGGTTTATGATGGGTAAGGATATGAGCCGCCATATGTGCCGCGATCTGTTTGTTGAACAAGATGAACGCTCCATTCATCGGTGGATAGGTCTGGTCCTCGTAATCGTGGGTGGTGTGGGCTCCTACAAACGGAAGGGTGACCTGGACTGCAGGGACGGCAATATTAAATATGCCGGCTCCGATGGTGTGTGTTCGTTGGGTGACATGCGCCTCTGCGGCTTCGGTCCTTGCGATGTCGGTTGCAAGAACTTGGCGCTTCTGTATCAATTCCGTGTTGTACTCGTGCACCAGGTTGCTTGCCCATTCGATTGTATCAACCTTCGTTCCCAAGAAAGGAAGGGAAAAGGGCATCCAAGAGAATAGGGGTAACCTATGCGATGGCCATTTTTCTCGTGGTACCAGCTCTTCGATGTGTGTCTTAGGGGCAGCTTCTGTATCACTTCCGGGTTGGGCATCGGCACTACTCTTCTCCTTAATTTCTGCCCCCGTGACTTTCTTCTGCTGTTTCTTATGGCGTTTGATTGCCTTCTTAAGAAGGGATGTTTCCGCGGCTTCAAGCATGTTGCACGCCAATAGCCGACGATCGAAAAGGTTGGGGATATCCCCGAGATTA